TGGTCTTGTTCAGTTGTGTTCCAATTACACTCAACAGCTATTTAATGCTCGGACACTTCTTGGCATGGTTTCAACAGGGTAGTGTAAATGGAGCTTAAAGCACAGACTCATAACGTGTCTTTTCAAAATTTTGGAACAATTTGAGTATTTTAAATCCAAAGTAAAGATAGGTTTCTCAAGGTTGTTAAAAAAAATATGAATCCATTAATGATAATAAATATAAGCAGTATACTGAATGTTTAAAGTTAGTCTAACATTTGAAGCCTCAGTCAGTTCATTATTGCCTAATTAACAAAGATAGTCATTTCAATTTGCCTTGCAAGATAATATCTTTTAAGTTATATAATCATTTAAAGAAGGCAGCTGCATAGGAAATAAGAAAAGTAAAGCATAAGCAAAATAATTTCTGCCTCTCTTAGCCTGACAATGAAACCATTCATTGTTGAAACCAATGAGGAAATGCTCAACTACACATTTACAATTTCATTTTTCACTTCATTTAGTGGTGAAAAAATCACCACTTCCATTAGTCAGTGTGCTTTGACTCACCCATCAACACCGTGTATGCAGTTCTCCCCTTTTGTGAACCTAATTAGGATACTACTGTGAAATTACAGAAACGCCATTCACTTATTTCACAGATCGTAGTTATCAGTGTTAGTTTTTACAGTAGCTACATAAAGGTGTTTTAATCCCCCCCAATGTCAGAGAAATAAGAAGTGGTCAAATGTACAACTTTAGACCCTTCCTATTTCCAAGTAACACTGCAAAGGCTATGGCTGTTCACTGTAAATTTAATTAATGTGGCATGTCATACAAAGAAGTAGAAGGAGGTGGATATAATTACTAACTGCCAGAGTGTAATCACAAAATCATATATCAAATGAATAGACACAAGGCTGCACAGACTCGCACACTCAACAAGGCACTTTGAAAAATTTGTTATAACAGCGTTTGCCACAGGATTCATTTTATGTCGACAAGCTGATTGTCTTCAAGCTGATTCTCAAGGGACTGGGGCCATTTTTCAAACCACTGGTTATGTGCCTGCATCTCATCGATCAGGGGACTCACTGTCCCCTCAGAGCGGCGTAAATTAACTCATGTGTTCCTAAGCACAGCCTTGAAGGAGACCCCCATCAACATCATTCTGTATCTTGGACCTGGATGATTGCATTGTTTCAAACATGGATCATGCATTTTCAGAAGAGCGTGTGGCTGCAAATTTCACTCTAACTGATTGTGTTATCGATCTCAGTTGCTTCCACTGCTTTATGTTCTCTTTTATCCACTTGTTGTTCTCATGATAGAGGGTGAATGTTTGCAAGGGTGGCAGTTTCTGTTACAAACACGCAATTTAACTGTTCTATATGGCGCTGCTATAGCAAATTGTATTTATAACTTCCTTGCACCACCTTAAAATGAATTTCATCGTTTATATCCTTCTTTTTGGTAGGTATGTTTAGCTATTAAAACCATTGTTGTAAACAATTACATCATGGCTAGAAATATATTGCAATCATTTATTGGAACTTTATTCATAATATCTCAAACAATCTATGAGAAGCTCGTCATCTATTTGTGCTGTTTACTTGCCAAGGTAGTGTCATTTGATATCAAGCATGTTGTATTTTTGTTGTTTCCGCATTTGGAGTGAGCTCTATCTGGACAGAGTGGGGATGTGAGAAACAGAACTCCAAAAGAGAGACACTTGTCAACCATAGCTTGGTGGTGGCTATGAAGCAAATTTATAAAGTCCTAATTACAGCTACAGTGATTATTGATTCGTGCTCCTCCATTACCTAAAATACTCTAACTTTATATTCTCTGATTCCTGCTTTAACCTGCGGTGAGATGTCAAAGTGAAACACAGTATTCTTATTAGTTTGGTTGCTTTATATCCTTTAAATTTTAGTTCTAAAATGTTAATAATTGAAAGCCTTAGTGTGGTAACAATTAAACAGATAATCGATTCATCCGCTCTTTAAAAAGAAAAATGTTTTAGAGGGTTTTTATCCACAGAGAAAATATATATTTATTATTCCACTATATTTTATGATGTTTTAATTATAGCAAAATTTCACTTTGACCAGAGGTGCTGTCAAAGCCTGATGCCTCCCCTGTAAACATTGTAGCGCCGTAGGGGGTAACAGATTGGGCCCCTCTGTATGAATGTGTGCACAGTAAGTGTGTTTGTTTCTGCAGGAGCTGAGATGTGTAAATGCCAATGGTAATTAAAAAGATTCAGCACTGATATGGCTGAAAAAGGGGGTTGTGTTCCATTTCTGTCAGGGGCTTTGATGATTGAGGTTTACTTTGAACACAGAAAGCAGTACTGTGAAGGAGGGTGCGTGTGTGTGAGAGAGTGACTCATTGTCCAGCTGTCCACTAAATCCATGTTTTTATACTCATTAAGGTACTTATAAAATATATTGGCTGTTTTGAGTAAGACTAAGAGCAGTAAGTATTTGTCTATTACACAGTTCAGTCAATACATTTATTTACAAGGCCCTTCAATGGAAAGGAAAAAAAATAGACATTTTTTTTTTATTCTAAAATGATTTAATTAATCAGCAAATATAAGGGAAAACATAAAGGTTGGTTAATATGATACCCAATTAGTAGAAGTTGCTAGGAACCAAAATCTGTCAGCCTTTGAATGTGTGGAAATGAAGATGAAGCAAAGCAGTTCTTACAATCATAGGTTGTAACATGGAGGGTGTTTGCCCTGTTTTGATCTCTCCTCACTAAACAGCAAAGAGTCCATCAGCAACAGATACCCCTCAATTATTCAGGAGGTTAGCATGAAAAATAAATGGCTGTTTCCTGTAGTGAGAGGTGTGGTGCAGCCATGGTGTCTCAACCTTTTAGGCAGTGCAACGCCTTTACGTCTTAAGCTAGGCAAATGCTTTCTCTTGATGCTAAATCTACAGCTGGTTTAGTTCCATTATTGACTGAGATTAAAGCTGCTGGGCAAATGCCCAAGTGTCATTATCACAGAGGAACCCAAATCCTTTGTGGCTGGTCAGTGGGAGCCACAGTGCTCTCTTACATCACTGAGTGCTGTAGGTCAGTAAAGCTTGAAAAAAAAAAAATGTAATGATGCACATCTGAGTGTTTAGACTTTGTAATGGCGGGCAAACACTATACGATATTTTCATTTGTACTCAGCTATAGTGCAAACTGTACAATGAAACCGCAGGGTTAAAGTTCACAGCTCACAATATCTGTTCTTGCACTCTACGGCCTGATGGTAGGTCACGCTGTATGTCCAAAAACACACGTCAGACTCTGACTTGTCTGTCCTGAAGTAAAGTCAGAGAAAAAGAAGAATTCAATTGTTTGCGCCTGTGCAGAACACAAGGTTGAGGTGAATCGGCTTGTAGATGCTCGCAACTCCACAGAATATGCTTATGATGGCCGACTGAGTATCAAAAAACTTTGATTTACATCTGACTGTACGACTCCTGATCAGGAGGTGGTCTTGAGAGGCTAATCCTTATTACCCCTGTATACTACTTGACCCAGAACACAAAATGAAGCTGAACCTGATCCAAAATATTCTCAAAGATTTTTTTTCACAAATAGCAAAAAGGTGTATATCTGTCATTCAGTGTATGCCCTTCTTAAGTGGGTAAAATTAGAGGGCATGCATTTTAAGGGTTACTGATGTTTCCTTTGCCAGGATGATGATTACTTATTGGCTGATATGACTCCATAGAGCATTGCATTCAGATCTATGGGGTGAATTGGTCCCAGCATTGGAGAGACCGAACCATCAGACTCAAGCTATAACTATTCATCACAGGAGTTAAACAAGAAATCGTCGGTACACATACTGCAACTCAGAAGTAGAAAACAGGGGAGGTAGCTGGGCTTACAGTTCTTTAGAGATACAAGAAAATATCAATAAAAAAACATTGGTAGATTTTTAATTCAAAATATATTCCTGAATATTCATAAAAATAGTTTAAACTCTGAAAGTTAAATTGTTACCAAAGGTATTATCAGTTTTATTTTGTTTTATTTGCTTTACTACCTGCTTTATCATGTTTTTATCATTGCTTTTACTTTCCTTCGATTTTACGGGTTTAAATTATGTCAAGCACTTTTATCTTTGCACTGAATTGTGCTGTACAAATGAACTTGCCCTGCCATGTCTTTAGATAGGTGTGCTTCTTCGCTATTTTTTTAAAATTAATTTAAGCTCTTTCCAGTGCAAATTGGTGTTAAATCTAATTAACCATTAATTAGATCTCTGCTTGAAGCCACTTTAAGGAAGAAAATAATTCAGTCAATTTCTATTGGTAACCTTTAAATGAGATGAATCAGCTGGCTCATCTGAATACACAATGACATTTATGCAGTTCGTTGTATTTAGCATTAGGTTAAATGTTGGCATGAGGAGGGACAAGAGCGCACACTTTTAGGGACTGCTGTGGTCTATAAAGGACAAATGTTTTGTTTTGTTTTTGGGTATTCAATATTCTAGTGTTTGGCGTACGTGCAATTTTAGTATGGATTCCAAGTAAAGTTTTATGAATGAGACCCCAGAAATGTTTTATTGACCGAGCCAGGGGTGAAAGAAATTTTTTCAGTGCATTCTACATGAGTGGGTTGAACTTAAATTTTCTACTTTCATTAAAGCTTTGATGTCTGTTGTGACAGCATGGATGTAAGTGGGCCTAGCATTGAACAATACAGTATTGTCAAATATTTACCCTGCAGTTTTAGGATTAGAGTGGTAGAAAACCTGTTGTTCTTGATGTCATTACACTTTGTTCTAAGTGTCAGCTATTTGGCACTCACTGTCTGACAGTCTGTCTTCCTTTTGAGTTTGTACTTTCTTTCTTTTTACTGTCTGAATGATTTGTGTCCTTTTTCCTTTTGTTGAGCTTTTTCTTGATGCAGATTGGTTTACAAATAAAGAAGGAGCTGGTAAAGGAAACTCTTCATGGACTGTAATATAAGCTCATATTTTGCCTGTCTTATCTCCACAGGTGGTCCATCACGCTGGTCATCCCCACCATGCGACTGCTGCTGCAAGAACCACAAGGGTGACGGTGAAGGCGAGAGTGGTACTTCCTTTAATGAGCTTTCAACATCCAGCTCGGAGAGCCAGTCAGAGGCCAGCTCTCCCCAGGGAACTGTTGTCTGTGGTCCAGTCAGTCGTCAGTCGCACCCTCATGCCAAAGTGCAGACCCTGGACAGACCGCAGAAGAAAGGCCCAGTTAGCATGATTCAGCAATCTGACCAGCGACGGAAGAGTGACTTACTGCGCACTCTTACAGCCAGCTCGCGGGACACCAGTGGATCTAAGAAACGGCCTGCTAAAGAAAAGCTGACGGTTGAGGAGGAGCTGGAAAAGTGCATTCAAGATTTCCGCAACATCAAGATCCCAGAGAGGTTTCCTGAGAGGAAGTACATGTGGCAGGCTGACCTGCTAAGAAAGTATCGCCTTTGAGCCAGAATTTTGAAGGAATGCATTAAAGGAGGAGACACCAGGCCAAGGATCAGTTTACATGTATTTCCATCAATTTCTTCACACAAAATGAGGTTTTGAAAGGACACTACATACAAGGATATTGAATGTCAGAACCAGGATTAAATCATCAAAACGGGAATTGCAAAGGCTAATAAAAAATGTTATATGTACAGTATGTATTTATATGTAGTTTAGACCAACTATATACTGTAGGTATGTGCAGTAACTTGCTAAATGCATCAGTGCTGGACTATTACAAGAGACCTAACTGATAGAACAATTGAAATCCTTTTACTGGCTGCACCTGGTGTTACTGATGGCTAATGGATTGCACAGACTGTAATTGACCATCAATTTGATGGGAAAAAAACTACAAACTCTACATTTCTGATCCAACAGAGGCAAACACTGATTTATTGCGTGTACGTATGAGTATGTTGATATGTATGTGTGTGTTTGTACCCAGGTGGCCTGGAGGTCAAAGATAAATCTGCATCAGGACTCATTAATTATTCATGCAGTTCCAACAGAGCTCTCTCCACGAATACTCCCTGAGATCTCTGCTGCTACAGCGGCACAAACAGCTGGGCTGATTACTTCTCTTTTAGGTAACATTTGGGGACTCTTAAGCCAGAGGGAGGCACAATTTCATCAGCATATAAATTAATTCACCTTCTTAGAAGGAGGTTAGGTTGCAAATGTGCCCATGGAACACCAAATAGTTACACATGGCTTTAATTTTGACAAAGTTGCCTGGACATAGACCAACAGTCGTGAGGGATTAATGAAAGAGCAGTCAAACTTTGAAAGAAAGCAAAGGTTTGATAAATTGAACACTCAGATCACAGTCATCAAACTATATTAACATGCTTAAAAAAAGAATCTAATGTCAATGTACAATAAATCATTGCATAATTAAGCCTCACTCTGTATGACAGCTACTAAACAGACAGAATAGGAAAGGTCGGTTTAGTTTTCTAACACTGCCAAAACAATTTGAGGCTTTTCACTTATTGTTGACAAGCTGATCAATAATATTGATGACTACTGTAGTTTGATGGTAAAGCTAATAAATGAAGTTCTTGTTTACAGTTATTAGTTAGGTCCTTGGGTTCACAACAAAAAGATGCAACTTGTGTATTCAGTGAACGTTAGCGATTACTTGTTTATTTAAGTTTTTAGTGGTGATGGAATGTGCTACAAAGGAAGTACAGAAACTAAGATGGCAGGGATCTTCAACCTTCACAAGGAAAACACAATTAGTACAATACTAGATATTTTAAAAAACTTCAATTTTTTATTGTAATTTTATTGTAATAACATAATACTGATAGAAGCACAATATATGCTTATTTAATTGTGTGGTTTAAATTACATGACAATCAATTGGTAAAGAAATCTAAGGACGTTTCTGTAGTCATTATAAAAGCGCATAAGGCGTAAGGAAAGTAAGCTGTGCATTTTCATTATTATATGGTGAGACACACAATTGAATGAGACTGGGGACAATGCTTTCCCTGAGAACCCAAAGAAAACAATAAGTGTGCAATTTTATTTTACTTTATGAGCAGTAATTAAAAGCAAATAGTACTGTATCTTAAGGCCCTTTCAATTACACAGAAAAAGGGTTGATTTTTTTTCATACCTTGGTTTCAAACAAAAAGGTTTACTATGACTAAAAATTCGGAGTTCTCACTGACTTGTCCTCATTTATCTGCATCCCTGTGGAAGTTAATTTGTTCTTTTTGTCAGAGTAAATTTCTCTTGTTTGACTCGTTCAGTAGAATTGTTGATTGAATAAGAATGGGGATGTCCTGATCTTCTGGCTTTTTTGAATATTTGCTTTACAGTAACGGACAGCACCTAACTTTCCTCCACCTCCACATAGATATGAACTTCAATGTCATCAAATTCTTTTTGTTTTTCATAGAACTTAATATTATGTCAGCCCAAACTTTGCAGGTATAAGAGCTTCAACTCTTCCAAGAAATGTTGAAATTGTCCTGAAAATCTTCTTAAGTACTTCTTTTTATGAATTATTGAGTGTTTATACGAATTTCTTATCATTCTTACGAAGCCCATTTATTAAGAGCAGATACTGATGCTGCACAACAAGTCTGTCAAAATAAAAATAATAATTTGAGACTTTAGGGGTATTTTTGTTAAGTACTAGAGCACTGTCATATTCAGACAGAGAAAGGCGATCCGAACACTTTCCCAACACAGTTGTAAGCAGGCAGTTCTAAATATCCTGGAATACTGAGGCATTAATATCTCCAGAGACAGAGTGCTTTACAAAATTGTTTTTGACACTTTGAATTATACTTGGTATTTTAAGGTTTAATATTAGCTGTTCATCTATTGAAATCCATTGAGTTAAGGACTCTACAACTTTTATAAATCTAACCAGATGTATACAGCTATTCAGTCTGAAAAATCTGCAATGTTACTAAATGGCTGAAACTTATCGCTTACACATTTTTTTTTTTCCCCCCCAACAGATTAAGGTAAATATGTAATAGGGAAGAATTTTCTTTGACCAAATATTAAACAAATGTCTGTCAAAGCAGTCTGCAATCAGATTACAAGGATTTTCCAAAATATCAATGGTTTAAACTCACCTATTTGAACTTTAAAAATATGAAATTTCTCAGCTGTTTTAAACTATTGTGGCACAAAGCATCAGCAATTCCAAAAGTACAAAATCTAAATGTTGTAGGTTTAGTTGCTAACTTAGCAGTCTAGTTATTTGTTGTGACAGCTGTAGCCACAGCGTTCTAAGAGTGAGTAAGGAGAAGAAAGAAAACGTTTAAGGAAAAAATTATTTTGGCATTGGCATGACATGCTTAAAGGTATTGTGGAGGATTTTGGTGAATTTTTGAAAAGACCCGTTCTCTCCACTTAAAAAAAAAAAAAAAATGCACCTGCACAACTGTATCCAGGAACGCCTATTAAACTTGTGCGAGAGCATGCACAAGCCCATTTCTCCTCACGCTGTTTAAAAGTTGCTTCTCTCATAGCTCATATGGGCTTACTGTGTCGGAACGTCCGCCCTAACCCCTAAATCCACCAATCACTATATAGAGCTGGGACTATATAGTGGACATTATAGCAAACTAAGTTAACTTTCCATTCGGACTGATTATCACTCCTTTTTAATCCCAGTTGTCCACGTAACTCCTCCGCCACTGCGCGGTGCCTGCGCCATCTTTTTTATTAGTGGCCGCTGTTCGGTAGCAGCATCCTGTGGCGACAGCGGGCCACTGTGACATGATATCCCATAATGCTTTGCAAGAAGTGCTCTTTGTGCATTCCGGTATATATCTGCCTCTTCATAGGCCTCTCTTTTCTTCTCATACACTTCATAGACACTTTTTCTCTAATGACTCTTGGCCATTTTCAAAGAACGGCGGCGAGAAAGGTGAGCTTCAATGACCGGCTGAAACCGTAGCTCACCACATATACGCCTGAAAGTACACATGCACAGAAAAAGATAGCTAACGGAGCGAACACGTAGGACGGCCTTACGTAAACATATCACCAGAATGATTGACAGTTAGGAAGACCAATTATTTGGATGATCCACCTGGAAATAAAAGATAATCCTCTATACCTTTAAGGTTGTGTGGAGGCTTATGCTTTAAAAAAAAAAATCTAGGAGTTGCCAAATAATGAACATAAAATCATCAGGATTGGTAAGCAGGGCATCCCTAGTTAAAAAGGCTAAACATAATGTAACACCATGAAAACAGAAATGAAACAAAATTATGTTAAAATTATATTTCTCTTGAGGCTGTAGTGAAACATCTTCATTGCCAAATAAAAGTACCCCATCAACATTTGAATACAAATAAGGTGAAGCGCACACGACAAAGGCTCCTGCAATGATACTGAAGTGAGGCAAATTTAGTCTTTGTTGGAGAAACTTAAGGTGTCCTAAATTTCTCTTTGATATATATATATATATATATATATATATATATATATATATATATATATATATATATATATATGATTCTAAATATTTATGCAGTTTTTTTCCTATTTATTTTAATAATAAATGAATTATAAACTACTAAAACACTATTCAGATTTTACTTATCAAAAATACATACCACAAAATGCTGAAGTATTACAGTTATTTTTCTATACACAGAAGTTACTTTTATTTCAATGATATTATTAAAATGTTCTTACAATGTCCAGAAAATAAACTTTCCATGGGAGTTTATTAAGAACTAAATTTGCTAACATCTATTAATCAGCTTAAATTTATTTAAAGATTCAGGAACGGTGTTGCATTATGTTGTACAGTAGAAGCAAAGGCACGCTTTTCCTCCTATCCTCCTATTAAATTAAGTGTATTTACCCTTAATTTGAGCAGTCAAATAAGATGATCTGCCAATGGAATGAGTATTTTTACTCCTAAAATAAGATAATTAGATAATATTCACTTAAAATAAGAAAAAGCAATAGTTTTTTTCTTATTTTAAATGTAAATTGTCTTTCTTCAAATGGCAGTGTCTCAATTACCTCCTCAATTCAAGAAAAAATGCACATATTTGAGCGAAAATGACTTATTTAGATTTCCATTTTTTGCAGTGAAATGTGAGCTATAACAGAACCTCTGACAAGAGTTAGTTTTCTGTTTCTACAGATTTATAATTTAATGAAATTTATATTTTTTCTTAAAAACTGTTAACTATGCTAAAAATCAATGATATCAAAGCAAAGCAATGTGTTATTCTTTGTATATAATGTAGAACATACAGATTCACAGCATACAGTCACTGCTGTTATGTTGCTCTCAGAGATCCACAAGTCGATCAATAATCTAAAACAGTCTTTGTTAAAATATTCTGTGCTTGGCATTGACAGGGAACTAAAAATAACATATAGGTAAAGTTAAATAATTTGTAGCTATTTGTTGGGCAACAGTATTAAAATTGATCATTAGTTTTTATCTTGCTTTCCTTTTTAATCCAAGCTCCACACTAACAGTGAAATGTGACCAGGATATTTCAATAAGGATACCCTATCTAACTAATGTGGATGATAACTGACAAGATGTTAAATCAAAACTCTAAATTCAAAAGAGAATGCAACCAGAACAGTGATGGAAAGAAAACATATTGAATATATTTCACAATTTATCATTGGCAGGCTTTCTTCAGTTCAAAGAACATTTCTCAATGAATCATTCAATCAATTACTTTATTGTCAACTACAATTTGCATTGTAAGCAAACTGCCATGGTTTCATTGTTGGATTGCCAACTTGAAGAGGGTGGATTTGCCATCAAACTTCTGCCCAGAGAAAGACAAGTCATATGTAGCCAACATTTCAAAGAAGAATGTTTTCAAGTTATTGCGTAGTGACTAACACCAGATACAGCATAGGGACTTGCTCAATAACCGATACCGCACTGTGACTTGACAAACCGGTAGGTGGCAATAGTGCTGTTTGACAAACATGGAGGTCTCCAGTAAAGCACACTCAAATGAAAATTACTCTTAATTAAAAATACTAAGTTTATTGAACAGTATGTAATAATTTTATATTTAAAATACGTACAGAAGTTTGAATTCTGAACAAGACCGGATTTTTCCTTTAATCCATTTACAGCATTACCTTGAGCACATAAAATGAGTTAGGTCAGCAAAGCCTAGTTATAAAGCAATAACCCAATTTTTGAACGTAAAGCTTTGTTCATCCTGTTGCTGTATCTAAAAATGGAGAGTATAGCACAACAACCCTACCAAGCCATAGTCAACCTAAAATCAGATGCCTAATGGTAGAAACAGCAAAGAGGCACATGACTGCTCTAGAGAAAAGGAGATTTGCAGCTCAGTTGGGATCTGAGAATTTTTTGGCAGGACATTTTTTTTGTGTACTCAATAAATGTGACCTTTACTAGAGAGACCCTGAAAAAAAGAGAGGTTGAAAAAACTCAAGAGTTCTGCTTGCCTCAGGTGATGTAGAGGACACAGCAGCTACAAGTAGGATGGTGCACTGGTTAGATGAGATGACAATGCACCTAAAGCAAAATTGGGTGGTAGAAAACTAATACTCTGTAAACACAATGTCTAACATGAAATTCGGTTATCGGCAGTAACGTTGGAATAAAACTAAATCTAAAAGTAGTTTGGACAAAAAGTAATGTCAGTAGACATGCCCCGTTGAGTCTAACTGAGTGCCAGTTTGTCCAAAAAAAATTATAATTTCATTAAAGCACACTTTCTTATTTTTTACAGAACATATCTCCACAATATATTCATGCTTGCAGTTGTTACCCGATAAAGGTATGTTAAAGACTTCAAGGAAAACTAATAGTTTTGCAAGGCGCCATAAGGTTTCTTTTACTGTAGTTTTTTAGTAGAGCTCATAGCGGCAAATCTTTCACCAGGGATAAGCTGCTCGGATGTGTGCTTTGTTTTCTTCTGTCGTTGCCTGATGCATCTGTTCTACAAAATAGTTCATCCATGCAGATGAAATTTAATGTCCTTACCCAACAGTTGAATGAGTAGAAATGGAAGCATAAAACGTTTGACACCTGGTGGCCTTTTAGAGTTGTCTACAGCTGTTTTTGCACAATGTATAGAAAAAAAGTACAACAAGCAAACAGGAAAGTATTTGAAAGCGAACATATATCGATCACCTTCCATGTCCAGCACAACCCCAAAACATTTTGAGAGCATGTGATATGTGGTTCTTTTTACCTGAAGTCATACATATTTGTGCGAATTAGTAAAATGATGTGTGCAAATTATGTCTTAGGAAACTTGTGATGTATGAAAACGAAGAAAGTCTAAACCAATGTAAAGTTGTCTGTTTTTGTTATTTTGCAGTGCTCCGTTTTATTTCTCGGACCGATTTCCTCTCCCTAAAATGATGGTAAATACTTTACATGAAACCCCATCACATGACTGCAACCTTCGTTATTTTCTGCTGCCTTTGAAAAGCCTGCCAGCCACAACAGAAAGTCACAATATTCCGACACCGCCATGGCAGACGTGGAGTCGAGTGTTGAAAGCAAAGGGGCTAGTTTTGATGTATGTTGATGTTACACACATTTACAAAAAGAAAAAAAAAAGCAACAAAACATTGTGAGCATGTGTTATAAACTTATGAAAGATTTCAATTAGTCTTGTGAAAAGAGTATGTGACAAAGAAATATTTGACAAAAAAGAGAAAATAGAAAAAAAAAAAAAAGATAAGCACAAATGTGTTGATTGTTATTGTTTCTCCACTGGTGTATGAAGTTCTTAATGAATAAAACGATTCTGCAACATCACCAAACCCCTGCAAAACAAAGCAACTCTCATTGCAAGTTAATGGAAAACTTGTTACAAATCATCATGAAACTGCAGAACACTATTCACTTACTGTAGCAATACAAAACTCTCAATTGTTTTTCCTTTGTATTCTGTGGAGGAGAGTCATTTACTATGGTAAAACATATATTCAAAGAGTCTGACATTCGTGCTGAGAGTTGCTCTGTATTCTAGGTGTAACATTCTGTTTCTATGGCTGCCTTTAGAGACAGTACTATTCATTTGCAAGTCTTTAGATAAACAAGCTGTCATTTTGAAATGTATGAGTAAATCCAATAAAGAAGATGAACTATACTGCTACTAATGAGTAATGCTTCTTTTGTCCATAATGAATATTCATTTGATGATTAAAATCTATTTAATAATGATGGAAAAATCATTTCAGAAAAAAAGTCCACGATTCAATTAGAGCACATAAAGGAATGTTTTTTTATTGCAAAGTCACAAGTGGCAAAGTTTTCGCCAGCACTAACTATTCAAATTGAAACGATCACTATGTATTTTTTAAACCTTTACCTTTTAAGTTACAAT